GTTGAGGATGTTTCACTCATGTGCAAAATAGATACAGCAATATTTATTTAAATATTAAATAATTTTAACAATGTTTCAAATTAAACATTCTAACATGCAACGTCGCATAGGTTAAAGTTTTTACAGTAGAATAAATGTAAATAAATATTTTTCTCTTTTTAACCTTACCAAAGGTTGAGGCAAATATTTATACACACTTATTATACATTATTTAGAATCGAAAACGTTTTGCCCTTCGCATTGCTATGAAAACTGTTCGTGAACTTTATTAAGAAGGCATGACTCATTTATAAACGTTTTCATACACGGCAAAATATTCCAAGCACATAGAAATCCCAGTAAATAGGCGCTAATATACCTAATTATGTTACCGAATATATTAAATAATAAAAAATACATAGATACAACTGAATATCATTCGCTTCGATTTAAACCTAACAAGTGCTGTTTGTATACAAAATAAAAACCGCAAGAATAGCAGATTTTCGTTAACGAAATCGTCGAAAACTGTACAAAATTGGTACTGTTCACATTCAGACGTGTTGTTTTAAATAAAGCAACCGCATTTTCTCTTGTGAATGTTACTCCGGTTGACAAAATGTTTACCATACTTGCTTCTTTATAAGTATGTAATAGTATTTAACAAGGTTTCTACTGGCGACCAAAAGGATATGACTGGAGTCAGTATTACCGTTACCTTGCATGTATTGTTCGAGTACTGCATTAAGTATGTGATTACATTTTATTCAAAACTTAAAATTTATAATTTTTCAATTTTTATAATCAATAGAATAAGATCTGAATAATTATATTAGTAATAACCCTGTTTTTGCCGATAGTGAAACCAACTGTAAATACATATTCTTAGAACGACTGCGGTTACATAGAATAAACCAAGTTTTTTTTTTATTGAAATAGACGCCATAAACCTCATATTATTACCTATCTTTATTTCTTTTATGAACGATATTAGTTATAAGCCATTTTTGAAAAGCACAAACAGTGAAAAAAACGATTTTTTAACGAATTACAACGATGTCCTACAATTAAGGAATAAATGGTACTTGGTACATTTTGTTTGTGACAAATTGATGGTGATGACTCGAGAAAGTATTTTGACGGTTCCGTTAAAGTCTGCACTACCGTATGAACAGTCGTATATTAAATACATCACAACGTACGATGAAAGGCACATGAGCAGAATCAAAGTGGATAAGTTATATATATATATATATATATATATATATATATGTATAAATTAACAGATCTGTCATTTGAAGATGAGTATTTGTTGTGAAGAAAAAAAATTGCCAGAACAATTCCGCCTCACCAAATCGTTAAGGAACACATAAAAAAGTGTATAATTTTTATTTGTATATAGACTATATTTTTGTTAATTCAACCGTGTTGAAATTAATTATTAAATATACTTAAACACCACTTTCTCGGAGGAGCTGGAAGAACCATTTATGACCCTACTCTAAACCACGAGTATCACGACACCAGGCAATTTTTCAAACTTCTTCTATCTTCTCATTCTACCTCCATGGTAATTATACATTAATTTGAAAAAAAAAATAGGCGTATTTTCAGTGTATCAAATGTATAAAAGTAAAAATCAAAACAACCTGATGATTTTTATGAAAATAACGTGAAATTATCAAATTAGATACTGTCAAGTTTTTACTAAACAAGATGTTTACTAATTTGCAATAAAGTTGGTGTAAATTTTCCCTTCGTTCTGCTAATCATGTAAACAACGCTTTGTTAGATTTATTGAAACCCATCTCAGGGAGAAACTTACGAACATTCTTTTTTAAAATAAACGTGTGAAGGAATACGTTGGAAATTCTTAAAAAAAAATTTCTCAAAACTTGAGTATGTGTATGAACTTTAAGTAATTATAATGCTAATGGAACTAGTAGTAAGTCATATTGTGACTGTTATTTAGATTCGTTATTTTTCCATTGTACACACTGTAGCAGTGTAAAAATGAGATTTATGTCATAGTTTAGATAAGTAATAAAAGTAAAATTTTTCCCACGAAAATAGAAAAACGTAAGTTTATATACCATGCGATCGAAAAAAAAAATCGTGTAGTAGGCCATCAAATACCTGACAGATCAAGGTAACGTTACCAACTTAACGAATTTATTTTTCTTGTAGCTGCACAGTGCACACCCATGATATAAATGAAAAAACTAGAAGCCCTCACAATTGAAGCAATCTTCAATGCGTTCCCAACCAGCTGGTAATTTATTAACAATAATTCTAACTTAAATTTTAACTCGAAATTTTCCATATTTATTGAAAAAATACAAAATATGTTTTATCATTGCTTTCCACTCAAATACATTCCTATACATCCATCAATAAATTTAAATTGGTTTGATGTGAGAACCAGACAAATTAGAGATAATTTTCACTTTATAAGCTCTAGCTGTACTTCAACATAATAAAAATATGTTTAGACAATACTATCGTAAAGAATTGTCCCAAACAAAAAAAAGAAAACGGCTTACAGCAACTTTATCAATAAGTCAAGTAATCCAGTCAAAACCATGTCGAGTGTAACACCTCAATATTAATAAAAAAGCAAATAATACCTTGTGCGTGAGCAAAACATGAGCGCTCTATAATACGTTCTTGAGAAGCCACTGAAGAACACGGAAAATGGTTAAAAAAAATCCCTACACCAATTTTTGAAAATATTAAATTTCGAAGTTGAAAACTCAACTTCGTAATTCTGATCTGTTTTAACGAACTGTATGTCTAATACTCAGTTAAATACATATTTAATTATTGTTAATTTAATAACGATCCACGAAACCTTTTTTACTGTTAGCAAATCTCATTTTAGGCTATTTGTATCAAAATTTTAGACAGTCAGTTCAAATAACACTGAAACATATAAAAAGGTATGTCGGATACAACAAAGGTCTTGTAGCTATTAATCTCTTAACCATTATATGAGTAATCGGTACCCAACAACTAATGAACATAAATAAACTCGTCTGCATTATAGCAGATAAAAATAGGGGCATCCCAGGGACCGTAATTGGACCCTTACTATTCACAGTATACATAAACAATCCACCAAATAGTGATAAAAACTCAACTGTTGCTTTATGCGGATGACACTCACACAGTATAATAATATTTTACCGCTAACTCAGGATATAACCGTCCATAGACTTACGGCTTAGGTATCAGCAGGCGGTCCGACGGTCACACGTTAGATGTCAAACTTGGACATTTCTTATTTTTTTTCTTGCGTTGTGACTTGTATTATCTATATTAGTGACGTCATCACAATTTTTTTATTGATCAAATTAAGAACGAGTCATCCCGTTTCCTTGTTCGATTGTGGCTTACTTCATAATTTTAGTCTCTGTTTGGGGAGACATAGGCACTCATTGAAAGTAAATAAATTTCTGCATGATCTTCTTTGGATGTATCAACATAAACATTCGAAATTGAACATGTTCTCGTTGCTGATAAGACATTTTTCCCGTTGGTTATCTCCGTGCGGCGTCCCATTGGCATTTGTTTTCCATCGGAGCAAAGGTTGCGGGGGTGTTATTTACGCAGCTGGTCTTTGCTTTATAGAAGTTATCACAAAACAAAAATTATGTTCTTCGAATGAAGTCAATTTTGACAAAAAAAATGTGGCATTAATTTTTTAACAATAAATGTCGTGTTTAATACTCAGTAATTTCGTGAATGTGTATGAACAGAATTTCTATCATTTCCATGCACAAATGATAAAAAAGAAACACTGCACTGACCAAATGCAATGACGAACAAATCATTTTATAACACCGAATTGGTTGCATCGTGCTTTTCTTATGGAAATGTAAGGGCCCTTTAATTTTCAGGTAAAATAGACTATACATTCTAAAAAATATTGGGTCACAGTCATTAAATGTTACAAAATACAACTTTGGGGATTATTTTCAGTATTACGTACTTCTTATTTTTTTCAAGAATTTTGTTTTTTATTTTTCTTTTTATAAAATTGGTTAAAATGTATTTTTTAAATTACCTTCTATCTATTCTATCGTGAAACTTTTAATTTAGTATTACATATGATTTTAAAGGTTTATTCATTTTTGTCTACAGGTGTTCCAAATAAAACTCCGCGATCTTATATCTTGAAAACGAATAGACTTCAAAATTCTCTAAACGCCGTTGTCTTTAACTTGAAGGGGGAATCTTAATATAAACAGTACATTATTGCAAATGTGACGTATGTAAATATATGGCTTCCGCGTCATCGTGACCTATACTTTTTTAATAGATTTTGATAGATGAAAATCTAATTTTATAATTTTTCAAAGAAATGGGATTTGTTGGTCTTGTAGTTCAGGCGCAAGGGAAGTTCTGCCGAAATAAACTTCCATTATTTTTTATTTGTTTATCTTAACGAGTGTAAAAATGTCTTGTACATTCCTAAAGACAATAAAGTTGATTGCTTGATTGATTTATCTGACAGTTATTTGATCGCATAGTTGTTTGATCGCATATACTTAATAAAAAACTTTCTTAGCTAGGTATATGTTTGATCGTAACTACTGTCAAACCTATTATACCTAACAAGGAACCTGTTGGTGTTACCGTCATAATTTTTTTAATATTAAAGTCCAATAATTGCTAAATAAATGAGTTTTTTCTCGATCTATCTTTCATTCCATTAAAAACAAACAAACAAAAAAACACTGAAATCATTTGGATAATGAAATGTTTTATTTATTTATGTATTTATTTATATATTTATTTATTTATTTATTTAATTATTAATTAATTAATTGATTTTTACCATGTCTGTTACATTTTTGTCATTACAAATTTGTTCTTTTAACTTCTTGTTTATAAGGAGAAACCCAGAACTGCAAAAATTTTGGACATTTCAATTTTACATGAGCATTGTACTAGGCAACCAGTCATACGCCTATATTGGATTTCTTTATTTTAGTGATTTTAATGTTTACATCAAGACAACTAATAGTGAAACGTCAAAGTCAAAAGTGACGTGATGTGTTAACCTATAAAATGAAAGTGTGCTAAAGAAAGCTTTTAAAAACAAAATGCAATCGCCTGACAAAAATGAGGGGGACGGACCACACCATAAACATCGTACACACGTAACTTACCTTAAACCAATAATAAATCTATTAAAATTTAGTTGATGAATTTTAGTACAAATTTAGCCCAGAAGAAGTAAGAGTGATAAAAGAATGTAATCGCGAAGCCTTCTACCAAAGATGCATGCCTTTAAGTGCACTGTTTGGGTTTACAACTTATCTGGGTGTTAAATCAGGTATGGACACTCGAGCTGTTCGAAGCTCAAGCATACATTTTCTGTATTATTGCAGGACGTTTTCGTGCGAATCCTCGGTTTGGAGCTATTCCAAAAGTAACAGCTTCTGTGGTGGTAGGGTATTTTTTGGGAAAATTTTCGTATCAGTCAAAATGCGCGGAAAAATTAATGCAGCTTCCAAACAGTCAAATTGGGGAGATGCTGAGAAGACGTAGACAAGGAGTACTACAAGAAAGGTTTTTGCCTTTATTTTTTATAATTCCGTTGTTCTAACTTATTGTCGAAAAATTACAGCTTAGAGCCTGGATTTGGTCCAGGAATGTCACTAGCACCATTCAGTGGAATATCTTCATCTGATACATATACAGACTTGGGGCCTGGTAGCAGTATTGACTTAGATACATCAAGACCACAATATGAAGGATTAGATGATACCCATAGACCTTCAGTTGATAGTAATTTAGAGTCATTTAATTGTAACTGTAAGTGTGTATTATTGTGTTTTTAGATCCAATTTATGAAGATGATATGCCTCCTGTTCAGAAAAATGTTACTACTTATGATGAATTAAGAAAGAAAAACAGAGAAGAATATCAACAACGACGCACAATGAGTTATAGTAGAGAACAAGCCAGATCTGTACCACCTCCTACTACATCTAGTCCACCACCTGGTTCCGGTACAGCAGAAGGACCCAAAAATAAATATGGAGACGTCTGGGAATAACTTAAATGTTATAAAGTGATCAGTATGAACTTACTTAGAAATACATAGTAAAAAAAATACGCATTTTCTGTTGTTACAGGCATAACTCATTAGGTTTCTTGTTGTATAGAGTACATTTGTTAAGAATTTTTAAAATTCTCCACAATGTTTAATTAAACATTAGAATTTTTTACTTAGAAGACAAAACACCAGTTACCTAACCACAATTTGATATAATGATAGTGGCGTCAGACAAAGTTCGCATATTCTGGACGACTAAACTGAAAGCGTAAAAACCGCTTTTAAGATCAAGCCAGAGATTTGTGAAACTAAGTACATACAACAATATCATCTCAAATTTAGCAAACTTAAAAATGCAATTACATAATATGAAACATTTTTTTAAATGATGTGACACAAAACAGTTAACAGTACGACAGTACTTAGTTGTAAATTTTGAAAAACCGTAGAAGTCGTGAGTGTATTAAAAAAATAGTATGTTGTTCGACAAACCTTCGGTCGCCTCTGAAGTACCACATACGTTAAAAAACAATTGAAAGTAGCAATTCGTCCGACAAACTCGATTACTATTTTTCCGTAACTTACGCTCAGGAGGTAAAAGCTAGTGTTTTAGAAAAAATTATACCAGTCCCAGTCACGTAAGAAAAAATAAAGTGACAGATACGGGTATCGAACCCGCAACCTTCGTTTTGTTAGCACAACGTTGCATTCTGCTTATATTAATATAAAAGTTTGCATACAGTTTAGATGTGTAGGGTAAAAAATCAAGGCGGATTCATAAACGCAGGTACAGGAGTTAGGAGTATGTTAATTTATATAATTTAAGTAGATTATTATGCAAGACTTCATCAAATTGTTAGTGGGGATGATTAGATAGATAAATGTTAGCGTTTTACCAGATACAAGATAATCCTAATATACATAGAAAAGTGACTAAAATCGGTCTGGTGGTTTCGAAGGTTTTCTGTACAGTAAAAATCGACACAGACCACAAACAGCTGGAAACAGGAGACTTATTTTTTCATACTCTAGGGGCCATGAAACGTCGAAGAAACATGGAATTAACCATTCGCCGGATGGACTCTATTACAATAGGACCTACTTCCTACTTCCTCAGCTTACCTAGGGGAGTAAAAATGATAGATAGGGACCTCATGGATAATAAAAAAAAATGCAATAAGATAAGCTTATACGTACCTATGGCTAACAGCCTTGCATTACCTGAAATTGTTTAAACATATGGTAAAGTGTATTCAATGTTGGCCCTCTCCATTGTAGGAACATGAATTTGTTTATATATTTTAATTATTATTCTAAACAGTTTCTTTTTTACAGAATTTTTCCAAAAATGAATCAAAATATTTAACACTACTTATTATTTTTCTCACAGTGTTAAACAATATGTATATATAGAGCACAATGAACGATGTCACAATTTTTATCTTCTAAATAATAATTTACATGTAACACCTGCAAATATTGTAGGCAACATATTTTGCGTATCGGATTGGTTCAATCGAAATGAGCAATTTTATATAATCTTTAGTGTTGAAATAAAATTGTTCTAAAGTTATTTAGACACAACTTCTTTCGCCTCTAAAGTAGAAGCGAACAAATACAGATCCTTTTAAAACCATAAAATTAAATTTGCGAATTTTATTTATTTATTTTTTTATGATAACCCCTATTAAGTACCTAAAATAAACATGTGTGGACTGTTAAAGTAAAGGTATAGTAGCATGTCATGCGGTTATTTCAAGTGACTTTTTCCATAACAGAATTTTGTGATGACGTTGTCAACATTTTAGCAAAGACATACTTTAAATATATCAATTTAAACAGGTGCAGTGTAACACTAGTGATAACACTACTCTATATTCAAACTTTCAGGAAAATGGGGTGAGTTGTCAATAAAATAAATTGCCTCATTCACTAATTTTTTTGAGTCAGTCTCAGTAAGTAATTCTAAAAAATATAAATCCATTGATAAACCAAGAGTAGAGATTCTTAACATTTTGCATATTTTAGACAGGATTTCAGCAAAATTTTAAGATTGCGTCATCAATTTTTTGGAAGTGTAGAAACGGATAAATCTTAATTTAACGATTTAAAATGTTTGCGATGACCCCAAAAACTTTTCCAAGATTTCGGAATATTCGATTTCGCAGTTTCAAAGTTAGATTGTAACATGTTCTACAATTTTTGATTTTTTGCAAAAATCTGATTGTGTATGGCAAAAACTCAACCGAAAGATTCATAAGCCATAAGCAGTACAGGAGTAGATATCTTATTTTATAAAACTATTCTAAATTTTATCATCTCATTGTTGGTACGGGCGATTAGACACATTTTGGTTAGCGTTTCACCATCTATCTACACGATCATTTTAAGATATATATATATAAAATTTGACACAACAATCGACCCAGTAGACTTGGAGATTATCTGTTTAATAAAATTCACAAAGACGAACAGACGGACAGAAACGAGAGACCACTTTTTTCGTACTTTAGAAGTCATGAAATGTCGAGAAAACATGAAAGTAATGAATCGCTTGATAGATCCTACTACAATAGGTATTTCCTTAGCTTTCGCTCTGAGTTATCAAACAACAATCAAAGTGTAATGCTTTTAACATGGGCTGCCACTGAAAAAGTGGGGCAAGATGGGGCTGAGCCCTCCCTAGCAGTTGTGGTTGCCCCTCCTAGAACACTTAGACATTATAAATTTCAAATTAGTAATAAAATTTCAATACAATGCCGATTGCTAAAATCTATTTAGTAGCCCCACCCGCCTACCCTTTATTTTCTTACAGGGTATGTTATTTGGCAAAATATACGAATTTTTAGATGCAGTACAGCTGTTTGTAAATCTACATTCTCTGAATCGATCGCAATGACGCATCAAAGATTGGCATTGGTTTTTCTGGCTTTTGAAAAGTACCGTACCAATTCTTTGGACTTGGACAGGTTTTTACGAAAATTTAATACCGGAAAAAACGACGTTTACAATTATTTTAATGAAAAAATAAAGCAGTTATCTGAGTGTATTATTGAAATATATATATTTACATGAAACTGTCTGTCGACAAACTTGCCCCCCCTGAATAAGTTTTCTAACTACGGGGCTCTTACAGATGAATTATTTTCAGACAACGTATGTATTTCGAAGGACATTGTATGTTCTTGCACCCTTCAGTTTATTCCCATCTTTCATTCTCGAACCGTCTTAATTGCTAGCTCTATATCTTGCGATTTCTTGGTTCCTTTTTATTTCTTGAGCATAAGCTAAAGAAGTATAGTAATCGAGTCCATTGGACGAATGGCCACTTGTATGTTTCTTCGACGTTTCATGACCCCTAGAGTACGAAAAAAGTAATCTCCCGTATCTGTCTCTCTGTTGTCTGGGGTCCGTGTCGATATTTATTACACACATATTTAATCTCCCGAACTACTACACCGATAATTGTCAAATTTTGTGTGTCTATTGGGAATATCATTTATTCATTTATATGGTAAAACGCTAATCACTAAATATACTCCTATATTTGTGGTGTACGAATCCGTTTTGAGTTTTTTCCTTAAACGGTCAAATGTTCACATAAAAATGAACTTAGTAACATTTTGCTACTAACTCAGGATATAATCCTCCATGGCAATGCGGTTAAGGCGTTAGCATGCAGACCGGAGGTCGCACATTCGATACTAAATTTAGCCGTTTGTTTTTTTGTTTCTCATTTTTCGCTCTCACTGTGTATTATCTATGTTTATAACGTCATAACAAATTTTTTATTGATGAAATTGAGAACGAGTCACCATATTTTTCTCGAAACGGGAAGAATACGCACGTCTTTATTTAATAAGAATTATAATAATAATATTCAGAACATTCTGTTCGACTTTGCCTTAATTAATAATTTTAGTCCTCTGTTTTGAGGCGACAAGCTCATTTATATCAAACAAATGTAAACGTGACACTGCGATGTATAAACAAACACTTGCAGTTAAAGCTTGTTATTATTACTGAGAAACCATTTTTTTCCTTTGTTTTATCTGCTGCAAACATATTATACAATGTCCGTAGTTGTGCAATTTGCACAATTCCTAGCCATTTGTGCGCCCACGCCGCCGCAGTCTGCGGGGGTGTTATTTATGCCGCTGTTTTTTACTTTATAAATGCTTTATTTAACTTTTTTTTTTAACAAATTAGAAACAAATTTTAATTTTAAGCTTAATTCTTCATGGTAAGACATTTTTATTTTTCACTTTGTATATTCAGCTCATAATTTAATTATATTAAAAAGATTGTCACAAAGTGATCAGGATCTTTAGTACTCCATATTCGAAAGTTTTATGAATTCACTGAAACTAAACAATAAATAACTTGTGGGTAGCCCATATTAAGATCCTAGCTCACATTCGGACTTTTTCCTCTATTATACATACTCATCCTTTAACTCCATCGGAAATATATAGGTACACATACAAAAACTTCCCAAATTTGTCATTGTTAGATATAAGTCAACAGTTATTTTTGAAAAGTATGTACTCCAGTTTTGTGAGTAAAAGACTAAACTATTATCATCAAACCAATAAAATGTAGTTAAGTACATAAAACTTCAAGAAGTTAAAAGTACAGCAGATTTTTTACATCTATTGTAAAGAGTTTTTGCAAAATAAGTTAAGTCAAAATACGTCAAAACTTTAATGAAATAAATCATTAACTGGTTTACATTTCCCGAGTAATAAGACAGAAAAATGTTCGTAATAGGATCCATGGCTAAATCTGTATGATCCCAAGCCTGACTTGGATTGAGTCATGCTTTTAAGACAAACGGGAGTCTAAACTTTGGACTGATAATTTTTTTAAAGAAGAGTTTTAACCACATTTTAGAAATTAGGCATTTAACAATTTTGAAATATTTACAATTATTATTTTATGGCAAGATAAAAAATTGCGCCTGTTTTAATTGAGTCCTTTTAAATATTCAAGAAAATGAAAGAAAAATAGTTTTGTACTAATTTGCCTCATTTATTTTCTAAATTTTTATATATATGTTTTGTCTTCAGATAACTACTGTTTTCAATTTCGAAACCGAATTTCATCGCGATATAAAGAAAATAACAATTAAACTCCTATATTAAATCTAGTGATTGGACTCAGAATAATTTGTTAATGTTTTCTTTTGTCACTGTCAGTGAAAAATTGTAGTGTCCTTTTTCCTAGAAAAAATATGGCAAAAGCTAAATGTCATAACTGTGAAACAAAATGCGGTAAAGGTAAAATGAATCCCGAAGTTATAAGAAAGTTAGAAGAAGGATTTAGAAGACTAAGAACTTCAAATTCCCAATCACTTTTAAAAAAATATTTGACGCAAGCTATATTTGATAAACTAAAATCGAAGAAAACTTCCTTTGGTTCTACTCTACTAGACTGCGTTCAATCTGGTACTATTATCCTGAATTGTGTTAAGTGAAAGTGTTTTATTTATAAATGCACAGGTTTCGAAAATCCAGACTCCAACATTGGTGTTTATGCACCAGATCCAGAAGCCTACACACTATTTGCAGATTTATTTGATCCCATAATCGATGAATATCATGGTGGATTCAAAAAAGGGGACCATCATCCTCCTTCAGACTGGGGGGACCTGGACTGCATAGGCAATGTAGATCCTGACCAAAATTTCGTCGTGTCAACTAGAGTGAGATGTGGACGATCCTTAGCAGGGTATCCATTCAACCCTTGTTTAACCGAATCTCAATATAAAGATATGGAGAAAAAGGTTTCCGGAACGTTGACTTGTTTAACAGGAGAACTCCAAGGGAAATACTATCCCCTCACTGGAATGTCCAAAACGGACCAAAACCAACTGATTGACGATCACTTTCTGTTTAAGGAAGGAGACAGATTTTTGCAGGCAGCTAACGCATCTCGATTTTGGCCAACAGGAAGAGGAATTTTTCACAATACCAATAAGACGTTTTTGGTATGGTTAAATGAAGAAGATCACTTACGAATCATTTCAATGCAACCGGGTGGCAATGTAGGAGAGGTGTACAGACGATTAGTGACCGCTGTTCGGGAAATTGAATCGAAATTAAAATTTGCCAGGAGCGACCGGTTAGGTTTCTTAACTTTTTGTCCGACCAATTTAGGTACTGTTTAAAATCCCGCTGAGCTGTAATTTTAAGCCATAAAATTTAAATTCAGGTACCACGATACGAGCATCGGTGCATATTCAAGTACCCAAGTTGGCACATAATAAAACCAAGTTGGATGCGACCGCAGATCAATATAATTTGCAAGTGCGAGGTACCAGAGGTGAGCACAGTGACGCAGAAGATGGCATTTATGACATTTCCAATAAACGAAGATTAGGCCTGACGGAATTTGAAGCTGTTAAAGAAATGCATGATGGTATTTTGAAGATTATTGAAATAGAAAAATCTCTGTAAATCTAAAATCAATAAAAGGTATCTTTCGACTGACTTTACGTTAACAATAAGTATAATTTTACTTTATAAGTGATATCTAGGATAAATAAGTATTATAATATTTATAATAGAGCTATTTCGGCAAATCTGCGTCTAATTTAATGATTTCTTGATGTTTCACAATTCGCTGAAAATGCAAATTATGAAACAAATTATCTTATCGATCAGTCTGTAAAATTATAACTGCAAATTTTTAATTCTCCTTCCAAAATATTGATTTCAAGATTCTTGTTAGTAGATCTTTAAATGAGCATGTTCAGGTATCTAAACTACCATTTAACAATGTTTTGGTATTGAAAATTGTTCAAATTTTTCTTTCGAGTCTTGCTATATTTGTGATGTTCTGATGTTCAACCACAAGAATTCTTCTTTGACTCTGCAACGGAACGATCGTTTGTCCTAGAATATTTTAAAATATGAGTTTGAACATGGTTTGCACACAATAAATAATGAGATCGATTACCTTTTGTCTGTTGTCCTCGGTCTACCACCGGTCATCCTAACATGCTATGGATTTTTTTTCAACGCCCACTTTTCGTCTTCATGTAAAAGAAAGATTAATAATGCAGTTTTGTCACCAAAATACGGTAGTGCTATTATTTATATTTTTAAGACAAATGCAAAAATCAACACTCAAAGAAAATCGCCTAAAAAAAGAGTAGTGTCTACTTGTTATTAAAGACTGTTTGTTGAACAAAGAAAAAAGAATTTTAAAAATCTTTGGACCCAGATGTAAAAGAAAGGTCCTGAGAATTTTCTGTTTCTTTTAGATATTTGACCACAGTTTAATTAATTACCAGCCGTCGTGTTCATATCTTATTGTCGGGTGCATGAAATCGATTGGAATTTCATTATTCAAAATAATTTTGGAATATCATGTCTGTATCCATAATTTTCTCATTTTATAATATGTATTATACATATAATATTACGAAAAACGTAAAAATTGTTCAGAATGAATCTGGCAACAGGGGTTAATTTTTCACATTTTAATCTGTCTATTTACATTAACATTTTATTTTTGTAAATGAACGTCAAATTGATTTAAGGCATTTTTTAATGATTTTAGGCTTGTGTAGTTAAGGGTAATTTCTAATGATCATATAAGAGGCGATTACAAAATATCGTACACCAAGTTGACTATGAAATTTTGTGAAGTTTGCCTGATAGAATTCTATTTCATTATTTATCGTAAATGTCATTCATAACCTAATCTGTTAAAATATCTTGTGTTTGCTGCACGAAAGAGAGGGTATAATGATTATAAATATAAAATAATAATTATAATCATTTATTTTATCAGTTTCTGTTTGATAGATAGGCAACCAATACTTCAGCCCGGATGATAGCGTTGCTACCTATCGAAATGAAATGATAAACTCGTATTAAATATACACGGATTTTCCCAAACCTACTTAATGTATTATCTGTTATCATCGTCTTGCATCATTAACAACATTTTTGAACCAATTGTCCGATAAAAATTTGTTTCTGTCGATAAAATCTTATTTTAAGAAAACAAATACGTTGAAATTGATAACGTTTTCTTGTTTTTCTCAGAAAGTAGGAATGTTCTGCAAGATAAAACGTAAGTAAGTCTTATTTTGTGTTTCAGAAAGTCATTGAGATTTTAACGTTATAATACCCATATTACAATAAATATCTCTGTATGCCCCTTTCCAGAATTGAATGCCGTTATTTAAAAAAAAATGGTCATATCTTATTAAGCAGCTCGCCCCTGAAATACAGTTAAATGTTTCCAGTTGTTTAAAAAACACAATATAGGTAATACCAATCCATGAAAGGATCGAAACGGTGACCTACGTGTCAGCAGCGTGCGTTTCTGGTCAATTAAGCTGTTGAGGAACGTGATTCTTAATACATATACTCGCATAAAACGTTAGTGTAAAATTGTGATTTTTGGGAAAATCCGAATGCCAAAGGTAAAAGCTCAAGGCGGATTCATAAAGCATAAGTACAGGAGTGTCTTATTTTATAACAGTTAAATACTATTTACTTACTTATTTGAATTGACGCCATCAAATTGTTGATGAGGATGATTAGACAAAGTTTGGTAAGGGTTTTACACGACATTCCTAACATACATATAAAATTTGAAACCAATCGCCCCGATAGTTTTGGAAATAATCTGTCTAATCAAAATCGACACTGATGACAGACGATACACGACAGATAGACGGAAGCGGGAGACAGAAAATTTCATACTATACAGATCATGAAACGTGGAAAAAATATGAAAGTAGCTATTCGCCCGATGAACTCTATTGCAATATTTCCTTAGTTTACGCTTGGGAAGTAAAAAGTCAAAGATTAATAAAGTTACACGACTCGTTGAATTGCATATACTTATATTAAAATTATTTTGAACTATGAAGAATGTTCTGCTTTTAACACACAACATCCAACTTAAATTTTTTAAGTGTTACATTCTATATATTTATTCATGCACTATCCTGTTCTTAGGTCATATACATCTAAGTACTGTAACTATAAACTTGAACCTTAACGTACTCTGTAGATGTTTATAAAAAATCTAAAAGATTTTAATTTTGAAATAGTCATACTCTTTTAAATTGCCTATAGTTAAGCTAGTATTTAGGTGGTATCCAAACACACCCTTATGTAATTTTACATTTAAATAAATATCAGCCACTGGGGTATGTTACTACCAGAATGAAGTTTATTTTTGCCATATTAATAAAATTTCCGACAATGATATATTTTTTCCAACTTAATCGTCTAATTTATATGCATGTAATACAGTTTACTAGATATCACTGCTGAGAATAAAATTACATGTATACTCCTATTTTTTATGTTGTGAAGTTAATACAAGTGTAGATTACGTAAAAAAATAATTAAAGAGCATTTACGTCAAAACAACAAGAAAATCAAAGGAAGCCCTATCTTGCAGAAAATAATCTGATAAGCATCAAGAGGATGATAAGAGGAAGAAAATTTTCCATACGTCGATGATAACTGAAAATAAATAACGATTAAGCTGAAGTGTACTGTCATACTTAACTAGTTGAGAGGGTTTTTTTATTTAATTAGCTAGTAATTTCTACTGCGAGAGAGTGATGATCTGTCAAAATAAAACATTTAATTTACATTACCTAGTTAATTATTCACACAGCAAGTACCAAATATAAGTTAAAAATTATTATTGTCCATTGTTGTCATAATGGATGATCTATTAGATATATGTCAAGTGAGTTAAGAGAACTAACAGTTTCATTAGATAGATAAGTTTCGGAACTACTAACCTGATTAGTTTTTTATTTTACTCGTTTTAATACTATTGTTACGGTTCGCGGGCAAATAAAATCCCCCTGGATCAAAACTCAACAATTTATTTCTTAATAACTCAAATTACACGACTATTACAGCGATTACGTACAAAATAACTTCGCAACTTAAATGCATTCGCTCACTCGACTTCTTGACTGAATAATCCTTCCCGAAGGTGGCCTCAATTTAAATCCATATTTCGGCGATCGAGCTCTTTCTCGAATTGGGTATTCGCGACTTCAGCTTCCAGGCTTTTCGAGCGCCGCTTCGAGAGTTTTCTGGGCCCGTCGCGACATCCACTTGCATCCGCGCGGCCGATGAGTCATACTTCATACGAGACGAAATGCGTACATACTAGACCCATAGACGTTGTACCGGGGCGGCGCATGGGTTTAGTTCGTAACACTATTTTAACAATTGTTTTAGTATAATACACGAATTGTGGCAACGAAAGGTATAGTTATAACACGTTACGCAAAATTATTGGTAAGCTAACTGACGAATAAAAGTACACATTCATGCACACCATTACTTGTAAAGGTTAAAGAAATGACTACAATTTTGTATTAACAACATAAATAAAACACAGATATTCGTGGGAAAACTTGAATTGTTATCTACAAAAAGTATTAGGGCACCTAATAGTGGGTTTTGTAAAAGTAATTATAAAATAAACGAGTATGAGGTATAATGACGCAAGTACAGCAAAATTTACTTCAAAAAATCCGGTCAAATTCAATAGCTTGTTGCAAGGACAATCCTAACATCTTTCAGAT